AATAAAATAAAATAATAAAATTAATTATAATAATGTAATTACACCGTCATTTTTATTTTATTTTTTAAAAAGTATATTATTTTTAAATAAAAAATGAATCATTTTGTCTAATTAACAAATTTTGTCTTTTAAGGTAATATATTTTTTAATTATAAATTAATATACAAAAAAATATTATAATCACTTAATGTTATTAAAGGGAAAAACACAAAATTGAAATTTATTAGATAATTATTAATTAAAAAATGTGACCAGAAATTAAAAAATTAAAATGGATAAATTTGTAAATAAAATTAAAAAATTTTAATTCGTTAGCGATTTGATACAAAAAACTGTATAAACTAACTTTTTCAATCAGCTAGCGGTTATAATCCAAACCGCTATCCGCTAGTCTCAAACCGCTAAATAAAAATTTTACCAAATAATTTATTTATAGTGGTTTCGAAACATATAAATTTACCAAACACCTATATTTAGCTGTTTAAGTAAAACCGCTAACCGTTACCTCAAAACCACTATACCAAATGGGGCTATAATCACAATTTATAAATTAAGCACTATATTAATAATGTATCAATTAATTACAGAATATAATCATAATTTACTAATCAATCAATTAGTCACTATAACTATAATCTATCAATCAACACTTAGTGATTCAATTAACATTTACTGATCAACAATTAGTCACAATTTAGTCATATTTCTTTTTAATCAATCAATTAATTAATTAATCATACTTTACTAATTACCAATATCATAAAATTTTTTAACTCTTTCTAAACTAAATTTCTAAAAAATAAAGAAAAAAATTTATACAACATACTTGTATTTTGGCCAAACTTATAATTAACAAATCTTCAAAGGAAAATTAATGATTTGAGAGGAATGGATACACCTAAAAAAACAGCAACAAAATCAATTAACAAATTGAGAAAAATAAAAACCAAACTAATATAAATGGAAATTATGATAAAAGAAAAACAATAAATATGTTTAAATATATTAAAAAATTTAGATTAAATAACAAATTATAAGAAAAAATAAATAGATAAAATTTAACTAACCTCAATTCAACTTAACAAGTAGAATTCCAAACCCAAGATACGGCAGAAATGGTGTAGAAATTGGATATTGCAATTAAGAGGGAATTATTACCTAAAATTTTACCCAAAAATGTCATAAAAAAGAAAAAAAGAAAGGAAGGATGCAACTAATTATACCTTTCTCGGATCAAAAGCCTAAAAAACTAATATATATTAACCAAATTAAGAAGCAGTAGTTCATAGTGTCGATTTCAACCAACACTTGAGAAGTTAAGAGGAGATTATATGAGTAAGCAGAGTAAAAGCTTTCTCATGAAAATGCAATGAGAATGAATGAGTCTTTGAGATCCAAATGGTGGATTTTACACGAAAATTAGAAAGAAGAAGAAGAAGAAAAAAAAAAAGGGATTTCCCATGATATTTTCGATCAGGCCTATTGATTGAAATAAGCATGGGAGATCTACAAATTTGCAAATTTCCCATTCGTGATAGGGGAAAAAATTCCCCTGCATGTTTCGATCACTCACACTGACCGAAACAAGCATGGGAGATCTGTAAATTTGCA